TACCTACGTGACTTTACCGAAAGAACCAAAGAGTATGGATTCCTGCAGTCACGAAAGCTTCAAATCAAGATATATTATTTAGTTTAACAATCATCCGGCGCGTGCAGCCGTGAAACGAACGACTTTGATTGGTATTTGAAATGGCAGTGATTTGATAAGAACGGAAAGACGGAGCGTGTCGCTGGATCGCTCGGACTGGAGTTTGGGAAACTCTATCCCCCGACAAACACGTGTGTGTGTGCGTGTGTGTGCGTGTGTGCGCGCGTGTGTGTGTATGCGTGCGCGTGTGTGCGCGTGTGTGTGCGTGTGTGTTTGTGCGCGTGTGTGTGCGTGTGTGTTTGTGCGCGTGTGTGTGTGCGTGCGGCCGATGTTTACGCAACAGAGGCCGTGCATTGAACGGCGAGGAGAAGAACACATAACTCATTAAACTGCCTTGTCCTCATAGAGGATCCTAATGGACAAAGCCGTCCCTAGGGGTACGGGGAATCGGGGCGACCGCCCCGGGCCCCGCGTTTTTTTTGGGGGGGGAGGGGGCAGGGCTGCGCTTCAACGTCACGGTGTCAGATATCATCCTTTTGGTTTAGTTTGAAAGAGTATAGTTTGAAGGCGTCGGTGGGGGGCCCACGTGGTGTGTGAGTTGCCCCGGGCCCCGCACCCCCCTCCTATCGATGGCCCCGCTTATAGTAAATCACACTTCTGCCACGGTTGATTGAAATGCGCGTATCCCAATTATACACTGAAAACAATAGACCATAAGGACAATAACAAGGCATTGACAACTACATACATAGACATCGATCGGTCGTGTGTATATATATACAAAACAATGTGGCATTCTATACAGTATATTCATAGATGTATATAATTTGTATTCAATGTAGATTGTGAATGAACCACGAGGGAGAATGTCTCTCATCCTTTGGATCCTTTGGGATATATATGTGCCCTCGGGTGATGATTGCAAGCGGCACGGGAGTTAAAAAAATTAACTAAAGAGCTGGACTAGAGCAGTTTGGAGTGATTTATAAACTTTGATTCTTTACGTATTTTTTATGGTAAGGCCCCCTTGGAACTATATAGCCCAGTGCAGTGGCTTATCATGTGAACATTTATAGCAGCCAAATACTCTAAACGGGTGATGTTCATTCTAAATGCGGAGGGTGAAACCGGAGGACTCGGAGAAAAATCTACGCGACCACGGAGAGAACATTCAAAGCTCCAAATATACAGCAAGGTTCGGGATCGAACCCACGACCTCCTGTATACCAGGCGAGGTAGTTAACATCTCGCCACCGCGGCGCCCCCGAAGAAGAATGGTTGGATAAGGAACATGGACAATGGCAGAGAGAGGGGTAACACAAGTCACGAGATAACCGAGGGTCAATGCATTCTATTAAATTACACAAACAGATAGGGGAACGCACAAACACACAGCCAGAGACATCGTATTGACTGTTGAGATTTTGGTGGAACACACTGACACACACACATTTAAAAAAGAAGGGGCATTGGTCGATTGTGGAAAGACAGCCAAAGGAGGGAAAACACCCATGATAGAGGGCGTCAGATCGTGTAAATCACGGATGATATTGGTCGCGAAAGCCTCCGTGTTATGGAGGGAAAACAGGCCTCGAAAAGAATACACTGCGGCGGTTGGGGGCCGTCCATAAATGACGTCACGCGATTTTGGAAGATTTTTGCCCCCCCCCCCTTCGTCACACGGCGTCACAAAAGTCAACCCCCCACCCTCAAATATGACATCACAAAGCTCTGCCCTCCCCCCAAATAAAACATGCTTCAAATCGCTTTAAACTATTGTCATTGTAGTGCGTATTTAATGTGGCGCTGCACTCTGATGTTGTAGGAGAAAACATTTATTAAAAAGTCTATTTGATTAAGTAGAACGTGTTGTCTATATTTATTTAAAGTTGCGCATTTTGATGTGACGTCACATTTCTCAAACCCCCCCCCCCCCATCGTCACACATCGTCACAAATGTCTGACCCCCCCCCCTAGGTGCGTGACGTCATTTATGGACGTCCCCTTGGAGGATGAGTTCAACTCCCGTGCTGGGCTGACAAAGGATTGTGGCATCGTAAGACGGCAGGTAGGTTCGGCCTTTGTCCAACAGTGGATAGACCATGGCCCATGGCAATGAATGATGATGATGGTGATGCACAGCGCTGGTAAAAGTGAAGGATTACTCCTAAGCGTAAACTTAACGCGAGACGAAATCCGGACAAAAACGCACACACACACACCCATGGGCTGTTCGACAACGAGTTGTTTCAAGCGTCGTTCACGAGACACTGGCAGAGACAACAAAAACAACCGCATGCCGTACGCCAAAGGCGACTTCCTCTAACACTCTCCAACACGCGCGCCGTGTCCTAGTAGCGAGCGTCTCAGTTGGAGATGATAACGCGCCAGCGCCCAGCGTCAACGAAGCAAAGAGGGTCGCGTTACGTCCGCGACGAGACAACGGGGCTGGGGTAGCGGCCGGGCCGAGCCGGGCCACGACGCCGTGGCGGGACCGATCGTTATCGCTGTTTTGTTCATTTTTTTGGGGGGGGGGGGGGGTATCCAGGAGGTTTTAGGCATCGCTCGCATTAATTTGGCCGATTTTTTTTGTATCTTCCGAAAGCTTCCCCCCCCCCCCCCCCCGATATAGCAACGCGGGTTTACATAAACAACAACAAGTTTGGTTCGTATCGGATCATCTTTACGCGAGTTGCATTGCCTCCCCTCGGGCACAGGCGTACGTCGCTAAAGCTGTTCATCAAGGCACTTTAAAATATCCTGCAGCGACGCCCCCTGTAAGCGTGACTGCGACGATTTTCAGCCCTCTTGTCATTTATACGAATGGCTTTTTTTTTGCGTGCGCGCACTCGCGCTCCTGGAATCTGTCTCTCCCCATTTTATACATTTCGACCGCGCAATCAGCGTCGCGTTCTAAGGACGAAGACCATCAACTGTTGGGAACTCTCTCGCGGTCTCGAATTGCATCACACCACCCCCCGCCCCCACCCCCCCCCCCCGTGTCAAGCGGACGGCTCTCCCAAACTTCCGAGCTCGCTTTCTTAGAGGTGCTCTTTCATCGGCACACGTACAAAGCCGACGCCTTGTACACGGCGGAGTTATTATCCCTGCAAATACGTCTTCACCATCGCGCCCGGCGCGTGTCGCGGGCCACGTCTACAGCGGTGTCGTTGGAGGGGCATGGCGAGGTCAATTTACATTGTGCGAGTATTGTTTGCATTTATTTATTAGATCTCATTTAAGGCACGTTCACAACTCGTGTTGGACAGCTTACGAGATACGAGCAGCTGTTTTGTGTGCGCGTATGTTTTTATTTCATATAAAGTTTAAACGTTGGCATCGCTGCATCGTTCGCCTGATTGCTGCTGGAAGACTTACACGTTGGTTGATCTTGGATGATTTTATTTGTACGTACGGCTCCAGTCTTGGCAGAACAGTTAAAGCTTATAAACAGTCGAGCAGTCGGTCTTGTTCCAAATTGCCCTGCTCGATCGACGTTTCACTCAACCCTCGGGGTGGTAGAGACTTTCACAGATTGCAGCATTTCACATCAGCTTCTCATCAGTGCCGTGCCGTGGCGCCTATCGTGTGCGCTCGAGTGTCCGCGATGGTGGCGATGATGTTGTCTTCTTTGTTGAGAGCATCACGAATATCTTCGCTGTCCACGACGTCACCACCGACCTCATCATCGTCGTTAAGTCCCACGCGTCGCTAACTTCAGAGCACTGCGAAAATTCCGCAGTCAACGACCAAACCGAAACGAATTCGACAGACGCCTGCCTGCCTGCCTGCTCGTCGGACAATCACGAGGTCGCCTTCCCGGCGAAGAACTTGGAAGAATGCATTTGGTGAGGGTCGTGGCGGAGGTGGCGTTATCACGGCCTCCCCTCCCCCTCTGTGGAAAGGCACCGCACACACTCCGTTTCTCTCGCTGAGGTTAAGCCCTCTGGACTCTGTCACCCTCTTACAGGACGACCTGCGCTACCGTATTCCGAGGATTATCAGACGCTCCGGAAAGCAAGACGCAAGCATCCCACCCACCCACCCCCAAAAAATAAAAAGTAAAAACTTGTACTGGGTGTCAATAAAGTTATACAAATCTGGTCACTCGCTCGCGCACGGCAATGCAAGATTATGTAATACGCGCAAACCCCACACCGGCCACTTTTACTTTAATATACTTAGGCACACACACACAAAAAACACAAGTGTGTCTTATAATCCAGAGAATACGGTCTTTGTCGATTGCATATAACATTTATACGGTACCCGATCATGGAATTGGCCAAACATCCCCACGAAAGACACTCCTGAAAATGGGGCTTGAGACTCGTTGAGGCTTTCCTCGGCAATTAAAATGGTTATCCGTCTTATTCTTACAGTGTTGTGTGTGTGTATACATATAAATATATACACTATAGGCACGTTGGTGGTGAATACAAACGTTGACGAGACCGCCGCTGGTAGGCAGACAGACAGACAGACACACACACACGGGCACGTGTTGCCTCTCCCGTTACTACCGACGTCGTTCAAGAACGAGAAGAAGAAAAACTTGAATTATTCCCGACTCCCGTGTCAATCGCGCGGCTGAAACGCCCGCGGCCCCATCGCCACATCCGTCTCCATTCCAATACTTTAAAAAGACGCGCCCCCATTTGGAACGGTAATTCGTATTTAAAAAAACAAAATCATCATCATTATTATTAATATTACAGTGAATCTAAAACAACGAGGAATATACAGCCGCTCGCAAGGGGCACCTACGAATTCAGAATCCTCTCTCTCTCCTCCACTCGGTAGTAGCAGTAGTAAGTAGCAGACAGGTCTCCACCACCTCGCGTCCGCAGAGACCACCATCCCCAAAACAACGCTTCTAACAATCAGCAACAATCACTGCGTGTCTCCTTTGGTCACTGCACCCCCCCCTCCCCCAACCCCCTCGCCACCCGTGGCCACAACCTCCCCTTTACCAACCCACACAAATCCCCTCTCGACAACCTTCACGGGCGGCTGAGCTGCGTGTACACGGGCGTCGAGTCCCAGTGTTGGGGCGGGCTGTGTGACTGCGCGGGCGATGGGCTTGTCGCCTCGGGCACGGGCGGGTAGAGGGGCCTCTGAGCCGCCCCGTGCAGGTAGTGCGGGAACGCCGCGGGGTACAAACCCTGCCCGTAGAAGGAGGGAGGCCCCCCCGACAGGTGATGGTGGTGATGGTGGTGCTCTGCGTGCGCGGCCGACGCGGCCGCCACCGCGGCCACGAGGTCTGGCAGCTGCGAGCCCCGGGGAGGTTGGACGCCCTGCAGCTCGGCGTAGGCCTGCTGCTGCTGCTGTTGATGCTGCTGTTGCTGGTGGTGGTGGTGCTGCTGGTGGTGGTGGTGGTGCGGGTGGTGGCTTTGGAAGCCGAAGCCGACCTGTTGTTGCTGCTGCTGCTGCTGTTGCTGCTGCTGCTGGGGTTGGTAGTGTGCCGAGTAGCGGATCGGGCTCACGCTCTGCTGCTGCTGCTGCTCCGTTTTCACGCCACCGCCGCCACCGCCGCCCCTCGCCCTCTCCCTGCCGTCTCGCTCTCGGTCTCCGCCGCTCACGGGGCTCTTGGCCGGAGCCCACGCGGCCACCTGCCCCAGCGAGGACGCCGCGGTGGCCGCGGTGGCTGCGGCGGCGGCGGCGGAGGAGGCGGCGGCGGAGGAGGCGTTGGGACCCCCGCCGACGGCGCCACCGAAGCCGCCCGCGGCGAACGCGGCGGCCGAGTTGGTGGCGATGACGGACGAGTGCCCGCTGGGGGGCAGGTACTGGTCGAACTCGTTCACGTCGAAGTTGCCCATGCCCGAGATGGCCTCGGCCGCGATGTCACCCATGCCGATGGTCTGGAAGTCGAGGCTCGGGTGCCGGGGCCCCTCGCCCGTCGCCGCGGCGCCCCCCGCGTGTCCTCGCTTGCCCTGGCCCTTGCCCGCGGGGCCGTGGTCGGCCGTCTTGGGCGTGTTGGGTGGTGTCGGGGGGCTCTGGGGTTGACCTGCGAGCGAGGGCATTTGTTGGGGTTCGTCATCGCCGTCACCGTCCGCGGTCGGTATTTTCAAGGTCACCGCCACCGCACATCATAACCACCCCTGCCGTCATCGTCGCGATCGCGATCGCTGCCGTCGTCATCATCGGCAGCAGCAACGAGGTGATCAACGTTATCCATGAGAGGTGTTTTTTGGATTAGATCGCGTGGGTATAAATGTGTCGGGTGGTGGCGGGTTTAACGATACATTTATAAGTACGCCATTTAGCCCAAACGAAAACCTTTTATAGGTCAAATTGGTCGCGAAAACCTACGTGTTAAAAGCATCAACGTTGTCATTAAACATGCACATTGCAGAACAACGTGAACTCGAATGAAGGGTGTGGAGGTGTGGGACAAATGATGAAGAGGTGCTAAAGTCTGGCAAGATTTGCATGTATGACATTGATGGAGAGGCGGCAATCGTGCATGGTGGAGGACTTGAACACGAGTACGGACTTCCTAGTTGGCGTTGAGGTCCTCCACGCTTCGTTCTATACACGCTACAGAATGTCCAGAATCGACGCTCGTAAAGCCAAACGCACACATCGTCATTCACGTAATTTACTATCGATGTTGAGCGAATTTAATGGCAGTGAAGGAGAAGCAACTTGGGAATTCGGACAAACACGTGGCAAGAAGGCGCTGTGGATGCAATGAGGCCAAGGTGATAGTGGTGGGTGGGACGCACGTGTGTGTGGGGCAGGTGACCGAGAGAGTGGGCGATCGAGGAGAGGACCTGAAGTCAAATCTACATGGATGTTGAGACAGCTTGAGTGACCAGTAAAGGACCTATCGACTGCGTAATAAAGTGGTGATGTTGATTAGGAGACTACAAGATCAGACCTTCGGAGGTCGGGCATTGACTGTGCAACAACTGTGGAATCTTATCAGAAGGAAGCGTCATGACGAGTTGTGGAGGCATCAACCATTATGACCCCTCGACCTTGACCCTGATTATGATTGAGTAGGCGTGCTGGCAACCTCTGGGGTCAGAGCGCTAAGCCAACACTACGGGAGAAGAGGAGTTGCAAACCGGGTGCCATCAGCCCCATGAATTAAACCGAGTTCTCGTGTGTGCGGTTAGTTGATGGACTTGGCCCAACCGCCAACGATAAACACGAAAATTGTTTGTATGTTGAAATTCCTTCCCACTGTACATAGTTGACCGTGCCTATCGGAGGTGCGGGGGAAAAATAATAAACGAACACAAAAAGCAGTTTTCAATAAATGAGTTTTCAATCTTGATCTTAAAGTGCATGGCTCCGGTGGCTTCTCGCGTAAAAGTCGGGCTCTAAAACGTGAAAAGGATTTCGGAAGGAGTTCTGTTAAATCACCCTCCACAGGCCGTTCCCGAATTCCGAGTTGACTTTTCCATCTCGGGACTTGACGTCGGTAGCTAAGCTCAATCACTGATGATGATTGCTTGTGTTGCAGTCGAAACGTCGTGATAATTTTATTGTTTTATTTTTGTTTTTTTTCATCGTTTCTCTTCTACGTGACTTTACCGAAAGAACCAAGAATATGAATCCCTGCAGTCACGAAAGCTTTAAATCAAAATTTCATTCAGTTTTATTACATAACTGTACTACCAGACTCATGCCCACAAACCAAGTGTCCACGCGCCACTCTCGCGGGGCAATACCCCGTGGTAGCAAACGTCCCGCTGAAGGTGATTTCACAGAACTGCTTCTGACATCCCCTGGAGTGTGTTCGTCGCACATCTGTCAAAGCGAACATTTGTTTAGCTTCCAGAGCCGGAGTTTACGTGCAATTAAGTGAAAACTAAATTCAACATTAGCCTTTCACGCTATCGTTGTGCGCGTCTGGGCTGAAACCACGACCTCGCGGGTTAAGTTTATGTGTGTACGTTGAACTTATTTCGCACCGTACGTAGCCAACCGTGCTAAGCGGAGATGCGGCTACGGTGGGGTGGGTCAGGGATTTTCACCCAGCAGTGGATGAATCAAGGCTGACGACGACGACAACTTACTGGAACATCGGTAAACAAACGGGCTTCGCCATCTCGTCGGCTCCCTCCAGTCTAAATCACAAGACTCCTTGGCCTCCCAGATGAATGCGCCCGGGTGTGCGTATCGCCGCGCACCTGCCACGTGTCCGTGATGGGGGCCGTGCACGTCGAGAAGGGCCGCGTCTCCCGGGCCAGACAGATGCACGTAGGCGCCCCCCAGGGCACGCGCTTGCAGCTGAGGGGGGCCCGGCTCGGAGCTGTTCGTGTCGGCACCGTCACCCTTGCCCTGCTGCTTCCGCCTCCGCGGCTGGTACTTGTAATCGGGGTGGTCCTTCTTGTGCTGCATGCGCAGGCGTTCCGCCTCCTCCACGAACGGCCGCTTCTCGCCCTCGTTCAGGAGCCTGCGCGGCAGACAGGAGGAGAGGCTTGCAGCGGCCGCAATTTGGGTGAGGAGCGCTGTTTGGTTCGCGGGCACCTGCCGATTAAAGGTTCGCTGGGCACGGCGCGCTCGTGTCCGCGCGTGTGTGGGGAGCGGTAGTCAATACCGGTGACGATTATCTGAACCCGTCCTGGGCCTCCCCTGGGTCGACTCGGCCTCAAATGAGTACCTGGCCCAGTGTGTAAACATTACCACTGGGGAGACAAAGGCGGCCGGGGGTGGTGTTGGCCACCCACTCCCTCGTGTAGTCGTTCCGACATTCATAGGTGCTCGCTAACAGCACTTTCCCCAACAGTCTGTTAAGGCTATACGGGGGATCTTTGTCTTTGTGTGCGGTGGTGTGCGGTGATTAGCGCTACGCTGCGCTATGAACTCGGCGACCCCAGTTTTATTCCCGCTCACGGCCAACACCAGTGACGATTATCTGAACCAGTCCTGGGCCTCCCCTAGGTCGACTCAGCCTCAAATGAGTACCTAGTGCGGTGTGTAAAAATCGCCACTAGGGAGACAAAGGCGGCCGGGCGTGGTGTCGGCCACCCCACCCCCGTCGTGTGTCGTTCCGACCTTCACAGGTGCTACTCGCTCACAGCACTCGCCCCAACAGTCTGTTAAAGGCTACAGGGGGAATCTTTGGCGCGGCTTGTACAAGCACACACGTGTCAACTGCACGGTTCCAAGTGCCATATTCAGCTTTGTCAGTCATTGTTCTGCTCCGAAGAAGGCTCATTGCCCGAAACGTCAGCCTAGTCTATATATATATATTAATTTGCGACTGGCACGAGGCAGTGCTCACAACGAACGTGGGAGGTTCTAGATTTACGGGAGGTTAAGCAACAACAAAAAAATGGGGCCCGGCTGTCGCGAAGTGTTGAAGAGTCCCAGACGCGTGAGTCCCCACCCGTTGCTGCTTAACTTTAGTCACCTCTACACTCGCAAACTGCGCACGGTGTACACGGACAACTCCGCGCGCACCACCACGACTGGGCTGTGCTGGCAGCAACGTTACCAGACGCACAGGCTGGCGATGCAGACGCAGTGTGCTTGGAATTGTTGTTGAGCATTAGACGAGCAAACCCTGGCTCCGCCGAGATAGGAAAGCGAACTAAATAAATTTAAAAACACATCTATCCGCGCTCGCATAAACACTGCCTTGCAACAGAAAACATAATGGGGTTGACGGTGTCAGTCAACGTCGCTTTCTTTTCAGGGTAAAGAGTGAAACTCTCCGCGGTTTAAAGTGCGATCAAGAACTATACACAGGTCAGTCAGCAAACTGTTGTTCCGCTTCCGTTATAAGGCAACGTCAGGCGCGGCATTAGCGCACGTAGAGAGAGAGGTGAGTTTCGCTGTAAGGAGGTCCCTAGAGCCTGAAGCTGCAAGCCCGCCCAGTCAATCATTGTGAATTGAAGAGGTGGGCAGTCGTCTAAACCATACATACGCGCTGTCAGAATGCATCGGCCTAACAATCCAGAATTTGCTACGACTATTACGATTATGCTTCATTTCCCTTCGTGCGGCGTTGTGCCATGCGACGTACGAGGGCATTGAAGCGGAGCGCGGGTCGCGCGAATCAAACTAAACTTGCCGGCAGAGGCAAGGCAGAGGGCATTCACTACGAGAACCGCGGCAGAGAGAAAGAGAGAAACGTTGAATTAATTGTATACGGTATTCCGATTCATTACTGGTTCCTTTAGTTTTTTGTTAGATCGTCGCAGAGTGTAACAGTGCCAATTTTTATTGTAACCATAAAACCTCCACATGCCCGACGAAGTGAATCAAATCAGGTTGGCAGTTGGCACATTTATTCGGTTTATTGGCAAAACCGAATTGTTAAAAACCAAGCAAATGTTAATTTTTCCCCACGTGACAACCTGATTTGATTGGCTGTGTTGGGTGGACAGGGTTGATTATAATTAAACGTTTCACTAATTGGCGGTATACCTACACGAGTAGCGATCCCAGCAGAAACCAACCGTGACTCAGAAACGTAACGAGTACACATCAGAAGAAGAGAAATACATTGGCAGATATCGACGAAAATAAATCTATGGAGCATTAAACACAGGCGGTGCAGTTGTGTATCTAGAAATGTTCTTAAATAGAGAAAAAAAACACGTTAAATATCTCGCACGTACTCATTAAAAAAACATCACCGGCTTTAAAAAATTCGGGCCATATTTACAGGCTTATATAGCCTGGTATATTAGGCCAATTCATGAAAATGTTGAATTGTTATTTTAGGAGGGGGGCGGGATAATAGTAGATCATACATTGCTCTATAATTACCATTCTTACTTTCTTGTCAAACCGGCGATTGGATTATTTGTTGACCGGCATGTTTGGATAAAGTGCTTTAGTAGAAAAAATGTTAATTATTGATGCGCGTATTGAGACCGGTGCGATACATCTGGAGGGTTTTAATAAAAAAAATGTTGTGTTCCCTAAAATATATCCCTGAAATGTTAGTGGGGGGTCTCCAATGTAAACTAATCACCCGTGTCCAATTAGACAAAGTTCCATTACTACCAAGCTGGCAAATCATTGTGTTTCATCCCCTTACCGCTACTGTTTGTCTTAAAAAGTCAACCGATAACATCCTTAACACGGCAGCGCAAAAGTCACGAAGCCAGTAACCACCAACTCCATGGAATAACCTAAACCGCCCCCCCCCCCCACGTTCTAATTCACATCTTTGCACGTTCAAGTCACAAAACGTGCGGAGCCAGGATTTTCAGGTAGGGGTGTCAACCCCTCCAGCAATGAAAAATGATAGAGGAGTTGTTAGTAAGTAAAGAGTTGTTAGTAAGTAAAGACTTGTCCCTTGCTTTTAATTCGACGCGTGTGCGGCGATGGCGCAGCCATCGATCGAGGGTCGAATTCGAACCGCGTCGTGTGATCGGCATCGCGCTCGCTGAAGCTGTTGATGCCTTCAGGGAAGTCGTGTGCTGTATACGCAATTGCGCACAATTCTGTGAGTCACTTATAACCGCTTTGCCATTACTTATTGCCAATTATGGACTCAAACTATTATCCTATCATCTCATAGAGTCCCTGGCACGTAATAATATGCTACACAGAGGCAGTGGAGGTCGCAAAATGCCGATTTATTACTAATAAACCCCAATGATCCGATCGAAATTAGGGATTTCGATCGGATCATTGAGGGGGGGGGGGCACGTGCCACCCCCCCACCGTATTCATTGCTACGGTGTGATTAAACATAATACCGTAGTAATGAATTAAGCGTTTTCACAGAGTCGTGCTCGAACTCCTGTCACACGACATCTGCAGAAGCAGCAGCAGCAAGCGCAGGGCCCACAACTACCACCACCACCAACACACCCACACCTGTCAACCCCCTTATCAGTGCCCTACCTTGTTACAGACCAATTCAGATCGTATTGGTCACCCCGTGCCCCTTACAAATCTCAACGTTCATCCTACAAAGTTCCATCACAAGGGAGAAACACAAACAGATAGAAAGAAAAAAAAAGATTCGCCCGTATTGAAACGGCCGTACGCCGCACGAACACGAAAACTCTATTTGCCCGTACAAAGAATACGGGGCTAAACCTCGTGGATCGTTACGGGTATCCCCCGCATACTGCTCAGCGTCCCGCCGCCTTGCATCGCACCGCACCTCCACAGCTTGCCAAGGGTCTTGCTGAGCTCGGCGTTGTGGAGCTGCGGGTATTGGTCGGACAGCTTCCTGCGAGCCGCTTGCGCCCACACCATGAACGCGTTCATGGGTCTCTTCACGTGGGGCTTCTCGCCCGGCTTGCATCCCCCCGGCCCACCGGCTCCACGCACGGGCACGGGCAACAGCGACCAGTCGTAGCCGTCCAGCACTTGACTCACGGCCGCCTGGATGCTCTCCGAGAAGGGGTCGTCGGTGCCTCCTCCCCTCGACGGCTCCGAGCCCGATGAGCTGCAGCCACCCGAGCCTCCTCCTCCTCCGCCGCCGCCGCCGCCTCCTCCGTGCTCGACGGAGCTCGGCTCGGGATCGCTGCGGCCAGGGGATCCGAGTCCAGACCCGGCGTCCGAGGAGCAGTGCGGGCTCGGAGTGCGCGACATCTCGTGATTGATATCCGACATGCTGACTGGCCGCTGATGAATCGATTAGCCCGATTGTGACGACGACGACGATGAGTGTTAATTGTATCGCGTTCAGTGCGGTTCGTTTTATACTAGCTTGCGGGACTTTGGTATCTGATAAGATATTTTTTGTTGCAATTTCAAATCAGTATTAATGAGACTATTATTAATTTACCTTTGCCTCGTAATATAATTTACGTGGTATAAAAAGTGTCTTCTTTTCCTCGATAGCATTACCAACGGCGAGCTGCCATCGCCCGTCGTACTGTTTTGTTGTTAACGTCGCTCTTTAATCCTTAAAAATCTTAACCTCGAATAACGGGGACTAAGGGATTTGCCAACTCGCAGCAGATCCACGTGATTCGCATGCCTCTCTCTGCCCTCCCTCCACGTGTTGTGACTGCGCGACCAACGGCACGCCCGCCAGTATTTATACCGCCGCCCACTGGGCGTGGTCAAGACTCCTCCCCCCCCCCCTCAAGCAGCCAATCGAGGAGCAGGACCGCGGCCACTTCGCCAAAGCTTCGCCCAATGACGAGAGAGTCCCCATTGGTCGATGTCTAAGAATGGGCGGAGCCAACTCCCCCCCCACTCCACGTGTTTGACAATCCCACCCTCAACACAGAGAGAGTTAAAAACACTTTATGGGACAGAATTGAGTGGCAGAGTTGAGCATCGTCACCATCTATTGCCCATTACTCTGAAGTCGAACATCACATCACCATCTATTGCCAATTGCTCAAGAGTAGACCAACTCCAAAATTGAAGATCACATCTACAGTGTTGCCCATTACTCCGGATTCAAACATCGCATCGATTGCCCATTACTCCAAAATCGAAAATGACATACATTGCTCATTAATCTGGTGTTGAACTTATCATAGATTGCCCATTACTCTGGAGTAGAACATCACTTTATGGGGCAGAATAGAGTAGCAGATTCCAGCATCATCACATCGATTGCCCATTACTCTGGAGTAGAACAACTCCAGAATTGAAAATCACGTCTACAGCGTCGCCCATTGCTCCGGAGTCAAACATTACTTATATTGCCCATTACTGCGGTGTAAACATACACAATATCATCGAACATACTCTTTTCCTTTCAGCAAAATCATAAACAGCTAAATGGGCTAATAGGCTCGTTAGTCCCTTTATGCTTTCTTGCACGAGTGTGGAGTGGGGGGGTGGGAGGTGTGTACAAAATAGGGCAATTGTACGCTAATTACAAACACTCTTAACACTCGTGCTATTGTGTACGCAGCAGCACGTACAGACCACGGCGCTCGGTTTAACTGAGTGCAAACCTAAATGCCGCATAGAACAATACAACGCATACATACACTCGCTCCTCTCGCCTGCCGCTTACTCTCCAACCCCCTACTGCTTTTCCTACATATAAAAAAAAAATTACTTCGCTGCATTACCCCCTACTCCCCATCCCGAATTCTGTACGACGTCCAGGGGACGCGTCGGCTCTTTGACGATCTACAAATGCAAACTTCCACTCCCGGTGAACTTGTTTAATTAATTGTACACAGTGCAGACGGGGGGAGGGGGGTGGGGGGGTGAGCGAGATGGGTACGTGACGCCGGGTCACGATGAGGGTGTGTTGAAGGCAAGCGGAATGCCGAGCGCCAAACCGTACAGTCGTAATATCCCATGACTCCGTTCGCAAGAGTTGGGCCATTGAGGGCCCAGTCACGGTAAAATTAGCCGCATGCTTTAAGTCATAGCGCCCACTGCTTCAAAAAGTTGCCTCGCTCTCTGCCTGCCCCTTCCACCACCACCCCCCCCCCTGCCTCCCTCCCTGGTGCCGGCGCTCCGAACAGAGTGGCCCTTGTGACTGCGCAGTTTAAATGTGGGGGGGGGGGGGGGGGGGGGCTGCGTGCCCTGCGGGCAGACACGCAATCACTACAACAGAGGACATCTCCGAAACGGAGAGTCTTGGCCATTTGGGGGAAAAAAAGAGCAGTTTCCAACGGTAAATTGTCTGCTATTCGCTGTCGTGTATCAGCAGCTGCTGGTGTTGTGCTGCGTATTGGTCAACCCTCTTGTTAATCCACTGCTGGATGAAGGCCTCCGCCACTCTTTGGCATTGGAGTTTATTTCTACTACCACAATCTACGGCTACTACTGCGGCTACTAGCACGCTGGCCCGTGCTGGATTGGTGAAGGGGGCCGGGTTCATGCGATATCGTTCGCCACTGATGTGAGCCGAGGCCAGGAATTGATGTTCTGTTGCTTAGCGCCACCGCTCTCCCACCCCCCGAACGCTTGCGTAATTGGTAAACATCTTCTAAATCCTTCACTAGCGTGGAGTTGTCTACAGACAATTTTTAAACCCTGCGCATTGTGTAACTCGTTGCAATTAAAATGCCTAAAATATATAACGCACTGAGTACCTGGTGCGGTGTGAAAACGTCGCCAAAAGTGAGACAAAGGCGGCCAGGCGCGGTACTGGCCACCCACCCCCTCGTGTGCCGTTCCGGCCTTCATATGTGCTCGCTAACAGCACTTGCCCCAACAGTCTGTTGAGGCTATACGGGGGATCTTTGATCTTTGATAGGACACATCAAGTGCAGCTCAATTCTCAGGACAAATGTAATTCCTCATTGTGTACACGTCTGTCATGCACGTCTGCAACAAAGCTGCAAGTTGCCTCTCAAATCTTCCCCCCTTGCCTCCGTCCACCCAGCATTTCGAATGGGTTACGCCACAGTTCAACGGATTGGCAGCTCGCTGTGCGGTGGGGTAAAGTGTGTGCACTCACACCTGGCCAGCGCCTAAGGATATAGGCCAAACCATCCACGTCGGTTAAGGCCCCTTCCGTCAGCAGGAGCGCGAGCAAGCGATTGCAAGGCTGCGCCTATACCTCTGGACGGGTATTTGAATGGAGCAATTTAAAAATGTCGCCCTGTCCAGTGCTATATTTAACCGGCTCAATGGCCGTTATTTCTCTCTCTCTCTCTCTCGTGCACAAAGAGCCACGTTTATTTCAAGGTTTTCATAAAATTCAAACGGTGCGGCCAAATTAGACGCGAGCGTTTAGCCCATTACCCACCGACTGGCATAATAGGGTTAGTTGCTTGGGTAATTATAGGTGTGGAGGCACACACACACACACAGGGGATATTCAACCAACACCTTTGTTTACTTCGCGGAGCGCCAGTGTGCCTGTGAACGCGGTGTAAATGTTTCCGATTTGTTTTTTTCTGAAACTGGATCAATTTTACCTGCGACTTACTTTTCTTTCTCTCTCTCTCTCTCAAATGTTCTAAATTGTATGTCTTGTATTCCGTGAACGGCAGTGGGTGGGGGCGGTATTTTCTTAATTGATTCAGTGGGGGGGGGGGGGGGGGCGGTATTTTCTTAATTGATTGATTCGTGTGGTGAAGGTCTCATGGAGGCTTCGTGTGGCGTGGTGGAGACTCAGTCACGAGCCGTCAGTGCTGATCGTCTCCGCTCACATTTGGGACATTATGACGCGCATTAAACTATTTTATTTATCGAATTCCCAACCCCATTGTCAATCCGCTGCTGGATGAAGGCCTCACCATGCCGTGTCGATCATGGGGGGGAGGGCGGGGGGTGTTTGACCATACTTCACCACGCTGGTCAATGTAGTATGGGCTGATGAAGGGTAGGGTCCAATCGCCACTGATGGATGTTAGCCACGGCTGGGAATCGAACTCAGGTTGGTGGGTTCATAGCATAGTGCGCTAACCACTGCACCACCCCATACCCTGTAGCCAATCCAGTACTATAGTAGTAATGTTTGTCTGGGAATTCGTCTTAAGATGTTTTAAAGAAGATCCTGCATTGAGATGCTCGGCCAATTGTAGCCATGCATGTTACCGTCTGCATGCAAGCCTTGCCCCAACAACAATCTATAATCCCAAAACACAGCCTATAGCCTGAACCAAAGTAAAACGTCAGCATACTTTTTCGTAATACACACTGCTATTTGTATACATTCAATAGCCGTAGTTTTTTTTGTTATAATAAAATAACAGACCAACGTAGATGGAGGTGTTACACTCTCATACGTATATAGGACAACTACATACACGCCACGAGTTTGTGTATATAGTTATCCTACACGCATATATATGCTCAGGTCTTAATTGAACAATACGCACCTACCGAAATCAACCGCGCGCACGCCCCAATTCTCGGGAAACCGATTTCCAACGGCGATCCATTTGCAGACACCCCACCTCCGTCGACCGGAGCGCTCTTCGCGTGCTTCTCCGCGGGCGATTGGATATCGCGAGAGCGGCGACGTTCGACCACGTGCATCAAGAAGAGAGCCGTCAAGGAGTGGTGGTGGTGGTTGTGGTTGTGGTGGGTGGTGGGGGCTTCACAATGCGCGCATTGAGATTGGCGGGAGGGGTAGCGAAAGAGCGACGGATGAATGAACCGTGTTGTTTTCCTCCAACGCACTTTCGCCGCACAGCGCTGTGGCGTGGCGGGGAGTGGAGGGAGGGTGGTGGGTGGTGGGGGGGGTATCTATAAATGGATCGCGCCGCCGTCGAAGACGCGGTCACACGGGCCCCGTTGTAAGGAACTCGTGTTATCGCGGGCGAGTTGCGGGTGAAGTCGTATGTGACATCGCATGTAAAGCGACGGTAGCGTCTGCTAACCCAGCAGCATTTCGATTTAAAGCTTTCGTGACTGCAGGGATTCATTCATCTTCTTGGTTCTTTCGGTAAAGTCACGTAGAAGGGAAGTAATAAAATAATAAAACATAATAAAATTTCGATTTAAAGCTTTCGTGACTGCAGGGATTCATTCATCTTCTTGGTTCTTTCGGTAAAGTCACGTAGAATGGAAGTAATAAAATAATAAAAATAAAACATAATAAAATAATTCAGGTCTGTCGAGAAGACAGAGACTCTGTCTTCTCGACATACCTGCTCTCCACCTGAGGACGGCTGCTTGCGTTGTGGCCGAAACGTCGTGAGAATTGCTTTATTATGTTTTATTTTTATTATTTTATTATTTCCATTCTACGTGACTTTACCGAAAGAACCAAGAAGACCAGCAGCATTTGTTCAGCAAGCTCGATTCTGATGACTCGACCCAGACGTGTTCAGTTTGTTATTGTTGTTGTGTTCAGTTTGTTGTCTCCCCCCCCACCCCCACCGCAACATCCGAATAGGACGGCTGGCTACGTACGGTGCGAAAGAAGTTTAACGTAAATACAAATCCAGTCCGGCAATCGCGTGCGTGAACAAATCCTGCTGCGTAATATTTGGTCTGTAACGCCGATCAAAAGGCCGACGGGGACTTACATCCCGTCTAAATTCTATACGTGGAGACACAGAACAGAGCTCTACCCACATATGCTTCCGCGCACCAACATCAACTTCGCCTTGCTCTATTATTATTATAATAGTATCACAACCCGTAATGGTTATTTGAAGGCTGGGCGGTGTATTTTAACCGTGGGTCTGTTGTAGGCCAGTCCCGCAAGTACTGTGCGCCTGGTTATAAGAGCTGGAGAGAGTTGTAATCGTCCAGACAGCCCTCACGACGATCAAACAACACGCACATGCAAACACAGTGCTTGTAAATTGCTTGTAAATTGCAACCCATCACACGTGTCACATATCGCACAGGCACCATTAACAGACAAACAATAACCCCTCAACGCACGCGTCAACAACACCCTGTGGCTGTAAAGGTAAAAATATATATGAGCGACGTTTCGGGCAATGACCCTGTTTCACTGCACATCACAAAGAAAGGCCAGCCAGGTACAGTGGGAAAGGTTTTGAGGATCTGAGTTGTCAGCTGCTCTCTCTCTCTGTCACGTGGGGCAAAGACAAAGCTCCCCCGTATAGCCTCAGCAGACGTTGGGAGCAAGTGCTGTTGGCGAGCGCCTATGAAGGCCGATACACACGTGCACACTTGCGTTACGCTGTAATCCTTACACACGCACACAATGTCGCAATTTTAATGGGCACTTTTCAGCGTTAACGGGGGGGGGGGGGGGCGTGTGGAGCAATCATCAGGCACGTGCAGCGTGTGACGACCTCATTTTTTGTATACCGTCTTTTTTTGAAAGCCCACGGTGTTATTGACGAATGTGTTGCGTTTCGTTTGCGGTTGTTGTTGTTGTTGATGTCACGTGCTGTAATATAGCAATATCCGTCTTTTATCATCACACACGTTGCTGCTGCTGCTGCTCCTACTGCTGCTGCTGTTGTAGTTGTTGATGTCCCACCAACGTATGTCACGAGACGGGGGGGGGGGGGTGTACGATGGGGCCACGCGAAACATGAAACAAGGGAAGGGGGCGGTCGGGGGCATTCATGTGAAGAGTCTCTCGCGTCTGTGGGCATGCAGGGGGGGGGGCAGTGCCACAGGGACCTCGAGGGCCGTGCCAACAAAACTGCCTCTCGAAATAAATAAATAAACACGTGTGGACCAACAGCGGCAACAGCAACGGCGGCAACAGCAACAGCAGCAGCAACGACAGCAGCAACAACAGCAGCAGCAACAGCAGCAGCAGCAACGACAGCAGCAACAACAGCAACAGCAGCAGCAACAAAGGCGCCAGCAACGGCAGCAGCAACAACAACGGCAGCAGCAGCAACTACAGCAGCAGCAGCAGCAGCGACAGCAGCAGCAACAGCAGCAGCAGCAACAGCAGCAGCAGCAACAGCAGCAGCAACAGCAGCAACAACAGCAGCAGCAACAGCAGCAGCAACAGCAGCAGCAACAACGGCAGCGGCAGCAGCAACAGCAGCAGGAACAGCAGCGGCAGCAGCAACAGCAGCAGCAACAACAGCAGCAGCAACAGCAGCAACGACAACAGCAGCAGCAGCAGCAACAGCAGCAGCAACGGCAACAGCAGCAGCAGCGTCACAGTGAGCTGGGTCCCTCTGTGTAAGATCGTTGTTCCGAGAGACGGGTTTGTCGGCAAGCAGCGGTAATTTAGTCAGCGTTTATTTATTAGAATAATTCTAATTTTTTTTCATCCGATTTTTTTGGTTTGTCATCGTCTTAGTTAGTCTCTGGTCGACGACAAACCTGCGGAGTTGTAGGAAAAAAAACTCCTTCGATCTATGTCAACACGTAACACATTGCAAATATTTAACTATTGTTTGGTGGTGGTGGTGGTGGTGGTGCTTGCGTTGGTAGCAAAGCAAAAGCTCACAAATACTGCACACATATCCACTCTATCTCTATCTGGCCTCGATATCGATATGCTATGGAGAAGGGTCATTGCTCAAAACGTCGCCGATTACATAATCTATTTAAAGGACGCAGTGTTGTTAACAAATGTGTTGAAGTATGTTGTTGTTGTTGTTTGCGCACCACTACCGACGCAGTATCACCAAATAAAAGATTCAACATACTCGTCAATATAACACTTCATAAAATAATGTATTTTATGCGACGTTTCGGGCAATAACCCTTATTCAGAGCACGTATACAGAGGTATAGAGGTATGTATGTTGAACTTTTTTCGCACCGTACGTAGCCAACCGTGCTAATCGGAGGTGTGGTTGCAAGCATCTAGATATCTATTTTTCTCCATCGATCTTATATCGGTATTCCCAGGACCAACATTACGATTGTCAAGCAGCAGGGTGTACGAGCGTGCAAAATTTGGTTCGAACGTCTGAGTCGCACTAGCAGGGTTAGGCTTGTTCAACAATCGCTGCTCAAATTGCCAAGGGGGGGGGGCAGTTTGTGAAATATCAGAGTCGAGTCTTATTCCGTGGATTTCATTTGGCGATCCTCTCGCAGCCTGGTGAACTAAAAGGCGGTCTCACTCTCGCTCGGTTATTAAATGTGAGGGGTACGCAATCCCCGCCCTCCCTCCACCTCCGCCACTTTCCCAATATCAGAATCAATCGGTGCCGTTATTTAGACTGGAGGAATCCGATGAGCTATGAAGCTCTTTATACAGATTTCCCATGAGCGGGTCAGCCATATGATGAGGTCAGCCAATCAGTGAACTCCGTCACCATTTAATGTAATAGCCCCAATATCCACGTGTGGTCGTTCTCAGGAAACTACTACGGTGGCGGGATATTAACTACCTCGCCAGGTACACAGGAGGTCGTAGGTTCAATCCCGACCCTGACGCCTAGGAGATGTTTACTACCTCGCCAAGTATGCAGGAGGTCGTAGGTTCGATCCCGACCCTGACGCCTGCTGCTGTATATTTGGAGTTTGCATGTCTCTGTCTCTCATCATCATCATCACGGTGGCGAAGAGATGTTAACTACCTCGCCAGATATGCAGGAGGTCGTAGGTTCGATCCCGACCCTGATGCCTGCTGCTGTATATTTGGAGTTTGCATGTTTCTGTCTCTCATCATCATCATCATCACGGTGGCTAAGAGATGTTAACTACCTCGCCAAGTATACAGGAGGTCGTAGGTTCGATCCCGACCCTGACGCCTGCTGCTGTATATTTTGAGTTTGCGTGTCTCTCTCTCTCTCATCATCACGGTGGCTAGGATATGTTAATTACCTCGCCTGTTATACAGGAGGCCGTGTGTTTGATCCCGACCCTGACGCTTGCTGCTGTATATTTGGAGTTTGCGTGTCTCTCATCATCATCACGGTGGCTAGGAGATGTTTACTATCTCGCTAGGTAGACAGGAGGTCGTAGGTTCGATCCCGACCCTGACGCCTTCTGTATATTTGGAGTTTGCGTGTCTCTCTCCCCCGTGGTCGCGTGCATTTGTCTACGGTCTTCCGGTTTTCCCCTCCACATTTAGAATCAGCATCACGCGTTTCGAGGGTTTGGCTGCTGTTAATGTCCACGTGATAATAATGATGATCCACTTCGTTCAGCTATCATTCGTGATGGCCATGTCGCGTTTGAAAAAGAGCTTGCCTAGTTCAGTGGGCCTTAACTGATAAAATTAAAAAAATAGTTTACTACCTTCTTTAATAACCTTGCTAAATTAATTAAATTATTATTTAATTGGTAAATTCTGATGTGCTGGCAGCAGGTGCACAAGCACACTTAATTAACAACAACAACGACGACCTCAACACATTCGTCGACGTTTCGGGCAATAGGCCTTCTTCAAAGGAAGCCAGAGAGAAAGAGACAGAGGTTTGGAAGCTGCACCAGTTTTGTAAAGGGACATAAGAATAGTTACACGAGTAGTAAACTAAACTAGAACCAAACTATGTTTTTTTTATTTCACCAGGCAAGGCTCACTGAGCTATGTAGCTCTTTTTCAGAAGCGGCCTGGCTTTCACAAATGACAGCCCAACGAAGTGGCCCATCACGTGCTAATGTATAACAGCCAACTACTCTAAACGTGTGTTGATTCTAAATGTTGGGGGGAAAACCGAAGGACCCGGAGAACAATCCACGCAACCACGTGGAGAGAGACACCGCAAACTCCAAATATACAGCAGGCGTCAGGGTCGGGATTGAAGGCACGACCACCTGCATACCACGCGAGGTAGTTAACATCTCGCCACCCTGGTAGCTATTGAGTAACCACACGAACCTTTGAGAACCGATCGAGTACCCGGACAACCCCTTCAAAGGATCAAAATCACGACTAAAACACATTTCTGCGGAAGGAGCTGGTAGGAACGTCGGGTTGCTCGGTCAATGGCCAGGGTCAACGGCGGCGTGGTGTATTCCGCAAATATGGCCGACTGCGAGGGCGGGAACAAGCCGGCGTAAGTAGGTTAAACGTTGAGTTTTATAAGGGCACCACGGGGTGACCAGCCCCTCCCCACCCAGCCCCACCCCTTCCACCCCTCACCCAGCCCCACCCTCCCCACCCAGCCCCTCGCCACCCTCCCCACCCAGCCCCTCGCCACCCTCCCCACCCAGCCCCTCCCTGCACGACGGACGCAATAATCCCCTGTGGGCTGGTGTAACCAGGAGGTTCCTGCCAGTATAAACTCGTGCGTGTCGTCACAGTCAGTCACGTCTTGCTCGCTGCTGGCTGTTGTCGTCATGGCTACGCGTTGATGGTTGTTTATCCGCTCACAGACATCGTCGGATAAAATTATAAAATGTAACAAATACATCAAATAACTCCACCCCCCTTCCCCCCTCCCCCGCGCTCAACACGTTCGCCAATAACACTGCCTTTTCATTAACACGCGTGCAATTAACAAGGGCTATGGCCCGAAACGTCGCCTATTATAGAGTGTTTTGTGTATTAAGGCCAACAACAACAGCCGCCGTTCGCGACTTAGTGGCGGTGACGTCACCACGGCGCTTGTGCCAGGCCAGGTGCACTTGGAGGCCACGTGAATTGTCGAAGGCTCTGACATTATGTCACGGGACATGCCTAGGTACCATGGGTTGACTGTTGTGCCAGGCTAGGTGCAGGAGGAGGTCACGGGACAGACGAAGGTGCCATGGGTTGACTGTTGTGCCAGGCTAGGTGCAGGAGGAGGTCACGGGACAGTCGCAGGTGCCATGGGTTGACTGTTGTGCCAGGCTAGGTGCAGGAGGAGGTCACGGGACAGACACAGGTGCCATGGGTTGACTGTTGTGCCAGGCTAGGTGCAGGAGGAGGTCACGGGACAGACCCAGGTGCCATGAGCTCACTGAGATGACTGGGAGATGCACCAACCGTGCCCCTTGCTGTGCCAACTCGCTGCGCTTTATCCGCCCGGCGCTCCGCACGTTTTTGTGAGCGTCGCTCCTCTGCCACCCGCTGCTGTTGGAGGGCGACTACCTTGTTGAGACAGCAATATTGTTGACAAATGTGTTGAGCTTTGATGTTGTTGACTGTGTTATTTGTCGTCATTCCTAGCGCCATAGATGGCAAAGCGAATCTCAAACAATTGGAGTGAGACCCACACCCCAAGGGTAAGTTGGTTTGACACACAAACACACACACACACGTAGCCTGCTCTCGGTCTATAGCGAACTGTGAGCGTCACCGGTGGAGCTGACAGCCCACGCTGTAGACAGAAGGACCACTCACCAACAACGTATTTTGTAATACCAGATGGGATGTTTTTTTTAAACACGCCGAACTCTGCTGATGAGCATCCAGAAAGGGGAATCCGGTCTCTCACCTCCAACCCACACGAGAGTGACAGAGCGAGCGTGTTAAGTAACAACACATGCTTCGAGTTAAACACTCAATTGGAAGGCCGATAGGTTGATATTCTAAAATATATTATATTTTTCTGGGGGGGGGGGGGGATATCCGTAAGGAAAGGTGATTCATTTAATTTATAACGGACCTAGTTGAATGTATATGAATATACAGTTGACACCCCCCCACTATCACCCTCCCCTCCCTCCTCCCCCCTACCACCAAGCCCCCCCGCTCCTCGCCTCCACCTCACTCCCTTCCACCACCGCTCCATGCCCCACTGCTCCACCACCGCTCCATGCCCCAATGCTTCACCACCGCTCCCTTCCCCACTGCTCCACCACCGCTCCATGCCCCACTGCTTCCTGCTCCATCCCTTTCCCCGGCCTTCCTCCCTCCCCATGCCCCCCCCCCCCCCCACCACCACCCACCCACCCCTGCCCCCCCCCTCGCTACCCCCCCCCTTAGGAATTAGGGGCCGCCCTGCCACACAGAGGGGGGTTTTGTGTGCACGGGATGGAGGCTGCCGAACAATGGGGCCGTTTATGCGGCTCAGCTCAGACTTTACTTACCTCACTGTGTCTCGGCTCTTGCAGCAGCAGCAGCGGCGGCAGCGGCGGCGAAGGAGACCCCGATTCCGCGTGCGCGTGCGTGCGCGTGTGTGTGTCTTCTACGCCCGCGCGTGTGCAATTGCATACGCGAGGAGCGGTGGCGCAGTAGTCGCCGCTGCACTGGCGATTCCCCCCCCCCCCCCCCCGATAGCAGTCCCTGGGCCACCCGCCCCCCCCCCCCTAGGTCGACTCAGCCTCAAATGAAGTAGCCTGTGAACATCGCCACGAGCG